ATCTACTAAAGTTTTATACTGCTTTAAAATAAAAAAAAAATTTTAGAAAAGAACAGTGCATCTTATGCATTTACTCGATCTTATTTATTTATTTTATCAAACTTTTGAGTCTGATTCACGGAAAAAAAAAAATTAAAAAAAATGAATAAAATTACAATTAAATGCGTCAAGTGCGTTTATGCAAAAAACCTCTTTGACGTGTGAGATTTTACTAAAAAAGGAACAGCAGTTAATCCATACAAAGTTCTATCAACCAAAAAATTAAAAATCATTTTAGAAACGCAAAATAATCTCACGCGTTAAGCGCAATGACTCAGCGCGAATAATTATGCTTGTTTTTTAATCTTCGTTTCGATAGGTCTTGAACCTCTCGATCATTGTAGTACCACATGACGAATAAATGATAAAAAAATTCAAAATACTGTGCATCGAGCTTGTTTATTGATAAAAGAGCTCTTACGTTGACCGCATTATTATCTAAGATGATAACGTAGTTTTTCTGTATCCCTCTAACGTCGATAACATTAAAAGTTAAGGTAGGCGGTAAGGTTCAGCATGGTAAGCGTGGTAGATAGGCAGAAGCCCCAATTTTCATTTTTGTTTACCGTTTTTTTTTTATCCATGAAGCAACATCTACTAAATATTTATACTGCTTTAAGATAAAAAAAATAATTTAAAAAAAAAAACAGCTCATCTTATGCATTTACTCGGTCTAATTTATTTATTTCATCAAACTTTTTAGTCTGATTTACGGAAATAAAAATACAAAAAATGATAAATAAAATTACGATTACACTCGTCACGTTCGTTTATGCAGAAAACCTCTCAGACGTGTCAGATTTTACTGAAAAAGAAACAGCAGTTAATCAATACAAAGCTCTATCAACAAAAAAATTAAAAATAGTTTTAGGAACGCAAGAAAATCTCACGCGTTGTGCGCGATGGCTCAGCGCGAATGATTATGCTTGTTTTTCAATCAGCGTTTTGATAAGTCTTGAACCTTTTGGTCACTGTAGTACCACATGACGAATGAATAATAAAAAAATTTAAAATACCGGGCATCGAGCTTGTTTATACATTAAAAAGCTCTTACGTTGATCACATTATTATCTAAGATGATAACGTAATTATTCTGAATCCGTCTAACGTCAACAACATTAAAAGTTAAAGTAGGCGGTAAGGTTCAGCATGGTAAGCGTGTTAGATAGGCAGAAGCCTCAATTTTTATTTTTGTTTAACCTATTTTTTTTTTTAATCTATGAAGCAACATCTACTAAATTTTTTTACTGCTCTAAGATAAAAGTAAAATTTTTAGGAAAGAAAAGCGCATCTTTTGCATTTACTTTGTTACTTGGTGTTATTTAATTATTTTATTAAACTTTTAAGTCTGATTGACCGAAACAAAAAAACTAAAAAATAATAAATAAAATTACGATTACACTTGTGTCGTGCATTTATGCGGAAAACCTCTGTGACGTGTTAGATTTGACTAAAAAAGAAACAGCAGTTAATACATACGAAGCTCTATCAACCAAAGAATTAGAAATAATTTTAGAAACGCAAGAAAATCTAACACGTTGAGGGCGATGGCTAAGCGCGGATAACTATGCTTGTTTTTTAATCAGCGTTTCGATAGGTCTTGAACCTCTTGGTCACTGTAGTACAACATGACGAGTAAATGATAAAAAAATTCAAAATACCTTGCATTGTGCTTGTTTATTTATTAAAAATCTCTTATGTTGATTACATTATTATCTAAGATGATTACGTTACTATTTTAAATCCCTCCAACGTTCACAACATCAAAATTCAAAGTAGGTGGTAAGGTTCGGCATGGCGAGCGCGGTAGATAGGCAGAAGCCCCAATTTTTTTTTTTGATTACCTTTTTTTTTCTATCCATGAAGCACTACCCTCTAACGTCCACAACATTAAAAGTTAAAGTAGGCGGTAAGGTTCAGACAGCTCAAGCGATTATTTACTATTCATAAGAAATAGTAACTACATAATGTATAATTTGCATATTAATACGATATGTTAAATAAAATCTTTGATAAGTCTTGAATTTTAATTTTTTTCAGTATAATCATGCAATATTGAAAATGCTGTATGATGATGGCAGTTCATTGACATTGAAAGAAGTTATTCACATAAGAAAAGTCTTAACTCGAGCTGAAGAAGAATCATTGCCTGAGGAAAATCATATTAAAGAAGACGTACAAAAACGAAAAGTATGTTTCTTGTGTCTGAAAACTCGTTTTGGATTATTTGGACCACAAAGTCGTTGCTGCAAGCTGTGCAATAGGACAATTTGTGTACGATGTTGTTCCAAGATAAAAATACCTGCTAATGAATTAGAAGATGTTCCTATTATACTTCTTTCACCAGCATTACTTAACTTGTCCAGTTTACAAATATCAAGTTCAAATGATATAAAAAACAGATTTTCTGAACATGGCGTTACTCCTCATTCACAACTATCTTTGCCAGTAACTGATTCAAATAAATCAAGAAAGCCTTGTGTATTTTCAAGAGATATCTTGCGAATCGACTTTAACAAAAAAAAAACTCCTAGAACCTCTTATGCAGTTACTTCCCATCATCAAAATCGGTATTTTATACAACTACTATGTATTCATAGGTTTTTTTTTTTTTTTAACTAGAATGTATTAAAATGCTACTGTTACCTTAATCTTAATAAAGTGATGAATATTTGATAAATATCTAAGTAAGAAATTTTTGTACTGATTTTTGTAGGTTAAGTATAACTTGCAGCTTGTTAGTTTTAGGTTTTGAGTTTATAAATACATTTCAAAGATTCTTGTACCATATTTCAATATGCAGTAAGTACATCGTGATACTAAGAAAATGACAGTATAGTTACTAAAATTTATCATAAATTGTGTTTCTGTAATGAACGCAATGAGATACGATAAATATAATAGTGAAACTATTTGATTATGTACGACTGAGAGCAGATAGTAAGCTCAATTCAACAAATATCTGAGAATTTTGAACGTGATTTTGTTCTTATGAGATAAAAAGTTAAATAAAAAACACTATTGTAGAAGGTTAGAAAGTTTCCTACAGTGTTGGTGTGTAGATCTAAATTGTATGGATTTATGTTTTCTATATTGAACTAGTCAAACATGCATGAATAACAAGTATGAGTAAGGATATTTAAACTTCTCTATACAGCATTAATAAAATTAAACGATTGTTTTTACAAAAACCATAAAGCTATATTATCTGAAAATTTTCCGTCTTGTTGAAATCTTCATAGTTTTTTATAGTATAGGATTCGCAAACACTATGTGGTTTTTTAAAACAAAAAAATGGTTTTCCGAAACCCTTATATTACCATTGTACTTACGTTGTTATTTTATTAATTAAGTAATTATATTAGTGAATCAGGAGTTACAACAATGATACTATCTTAAGCTATTAGTGATTGACGAATTGAAAAACTACGAGAACTCATCTTGTACATAACGTAAAAATAAGTTTGTGATTTTCTTACTTAGCAAAATAGCATTATTTTAAAATACCACTTTAGTCTGTGAACTCAACTTTTAATTGAAAAAGTCTTAAACTTTCTTGTTTGTCAACATATGAACAAATACTTTCATTTTCATTCGTCTGGCATACTTTTATTTCCCAACAAAAAATTTTAACAGTTTTTTGTGTTGTTTAAAATTACCTCTTTTACTGAAGATTACATTGGTTATAATAAATACAGGGCGTTCTGATTTTGAGCCCGAAAAACTATATCNGAAGCCTTAATTAATATTTTTTAATCCTTTTTTTTTTTATCTTTAAAGCAACATCTTCTAATTTTTTATACTGATCTAAGATAAAAATAAAATTTTTAGGTAAGAAAAGCGCATCTTATGCATGTACTTGGTTACTTGGTGTGATTTATTTATTTCATTAAACTTTTTAGTCTGATTCACGGAAATAAAAAAACCAAAAATAATAAATAAAATAACGATTACACTCGTCTCGTGCGTTTATGCGGAAAACCTCTCTGAAGTGTCAGATTTTACTGAAAAAGGAACAGCAGTTCAAAATATTGCCGTTCTATTCTAAAATTTTTTTTTTTTAATCTTAAAGCAGTATAAGTATTTAGTAGATGTTGCTTCATTGATGAATAAATAAAAAAAGGTAATCAAAAAAATAATTGGGGCTTCTGCCTATCTACCACGCTCACCATGCCAAACCTTACCACCTACTTTAACTTTTGATGTTGTGGACGTTGGAGAGATTCAGAATAGTTACGTAATCATCTTAGATATTAATGTGATCAACGTAAAAGCTTTTTAATGTATAAACAAGCTCGATGCACGGTATTTTAAATTTTTTATCATTTATTCGTCATGTGGTACTACAGTGACCAAGAGGTTCAAGACCTATCAAAACCCGATTGAAAAACAAGCATAATCATCCGCGCTGAGCCATCGCGCTCAAAGCGTGAAATTTTCTTGCGTTTCTAAAATTATTTTTAATTTTTTGGTTAACAGAGCTTTGTATGGATTATTTGCTGTTCCTTTTTCAGTAAAATCTGACACGTCAGAGAGGTTTTCTGCATAATCGCACGTGACGAGTGTAATCGTAATTTTATTTATTATTTTTTGTTTTTTNTTATTTCAGTGAATCAGATTAAGAAGTTTAATAAAATAATAAAATTACACCAAGTAACCTAGTAATTGCATAAGATGCGCTTGTCTTACCTAAAAATTTTACTTTTATCTAAGAGCAGTATAAAAATTTAGTAGATGTTGCTTCATAGATAAAAAAAAAAAAGTTAAACAAAAATAAAAATTGAGGCTTCTGCACATTTAACACGCTTACCATGCTGAACCTTACCGCCTACTTTAACTTTTAATGTTGTGGATGTTGGAGGGTTTCAGAATAATTACGTTATCATGTTAGATAATAATGTGATCAACGTAAGAGCTTTTTAATGAATAAACAAGCTCGATGCACGGTATTTGGAATTATTTCTTCATTTATCTGTCATGTGGTACTACAGTGACTAAGAAGTTCAAGATCTATCGAAATGCTCATTGAAAAACAAGCATAATCATCGATCCACGCTGAGCCATCGCGCTCAACGCGTGAGATTTTCTGGCGTTTCTAAAAGTATTTTAAATTTTTTGGTTGATAGAGCTTTGTATAGATTAACTGCTGTTCCTTTTTCAGTAAAATCTGACACGTCAGAGAAGTTTTTCGCATAAACGCACTTGACGCGTTTAATTGTAATTTTATTTATTATTCTTTATTCTTTTATTTTCATAAATCAGACTTAATAGTTGAATGAATTAAATAAATTAGAACTAGTAAATGCATAAGATGCGCTGTTCTTTTCTAAAATTTTTTTTTTTTGTCTTAAAGCAGTATAAAAATTTAGTAAATAGTGCTTTTTGGATAAAAAAAAAGGTATTAAAAAAAAAAATTAGGGCTTCTGCCTATCTACCACGCTCACCATGCCGAACCTTACCACCTACTTTGACTTTTGATGTTGTGGACGTTGGAGAGATTTTAAATAGTAACGTTATCATCTTAGATAATAATGTGATCAACGTAAAAGCTTTTTAATAAATAAACAAGCTCAATGCACGGTATTTTGAATGTTTTTATCATTTATTCGTCATGTTGTACTACAGTGACCAAAAGGTTTAAGACCTATCGAAACGCTGATTAAAAAACAAGCATAATTATTTGCGCTTAGCCATCGCGCTCAACGTTTTTAATTTCATTGCGTTTCTAAAATTATTGCTAATTTTTTGGTTGATAGAGCTTCGTACGTATTAATTGCTGTTCCTTTTTCAGTAAAATCTAACACATCACAAAGGTTTTTCGCATGAACGCACGACACGAGTGTAATCGAAATGTTATTTATTATTTTTTGTTTTTTTATTTCCGTCAATCAGACTAAAAAGTTTAGTGAAATAATTAAATTACACTAAGTAACATAGTAAATGCATAAGAAGCGCTTTTCTTTCCTGAAAATTTTACTTTTATCTTAGAGCAGTATAAAAATTTAGTAGATGTTGCTTTATAGATTAAAAAAAAACATAAGTTAAACAAAAGTAAAAATACAGGCTTCTGCCTATCTAACACGCTTACCATGCTGAACCTTAGCACCTCCTTTAACTTTTAATGTTGTGGACGTTAGAGGAATTCAGAATAATTACGTTATCATCTTAGATAATAATGTGATCAACGTAAGAGCTTTTTAATGTATAAACAAGCTTCATGCACGGTATTTTGAAAACCTCTCTGACGTGTGAGATTCCACTGAAAAAGGAACAGCAGTTAATCCATACAAAGCTCTAACAACCAAAAAATTAAAAATAATTTTAGAAACGCAAGAAAATCTTACGCGCTGAGCGCAATGGCTCAGCGCGGATGATTATGCTTGTTTTTCAATCATCGTTTGGATAGGTCTTGAACCTCTAGGTCACTGTCATTCTTATAAGATTCTTTTTCCGTCACACTTTTGCCAGGCTTCGGACTGGCAGTATATTGTTAAATATTTCTGGCGTGTTTAAAAAAAAATTAATTCTGTTACTGCTCCTAAAAGACTCTTCGACTGCCTTATTTATTATCTACCTTTCAAACTGCAACAGGTCGTTAAAAATCTTATTAATGGTTTGCAAAATAGTTACAATAATATTTTTAATTTTCTTATACCTTTACAACAACTGGTGAATGTGTCCTCCGTTGTTTTCGACAACCAAATTAGCTCTACGAACAATATTGTTGACAGATCTTTGGGCCATTCCTCTCTCTCGCACCTCATCGAATGCCTGGACTATTCTCTGTCTGCAATCCTCAGCATCTACAGGTTCAGTTTCGTATACTGATTGTTTGATGCAGCCCCACAGAAAATAGTCCAGCGGGTTTTGGTCGGGGGAACGGGCTGGCCACGCTATTGGACCTCCTCGACCTATCCACCTCTTGTCGTCCAGGTACCTCGTAACATTGCGTGTAAAATGGGCAGGGGATGCTTCATGCTGGTAGATTAGTCGCAGTCGTGTTGCAAGTGGGACGTTCTCTGAAAGCCCAGGCAACTGATTTTGTAGGAAATCGAGATACGCTGCACCGTTCAGCTGAGGAGGCAAAAACACGGGACCAACCTACGAATCAAGTAAACTGAAGTTGATAATAAAACGTTAATTATACCTAATCAGATTTTTTTATTTCTCAAAAAATGAAAAAGTAAAATGGTAATAAGTATTTACGACGATATTTCCTATGATTCTACCCTAAACATTTATGCTCCATTGATACTGGAAACTTGTCACCCTCGTGAGGTGAGGATTCTTATGAGCCTAGAAATGATAATTATGTTGATTGAGCATGCCATTCCTAGTGAATGTACACTCATCAGTCCACAAGATCGTATTGATGAAATGAGCATCAGCACGTGCTTGGGCCAAAAAACCGCCACAAAAATTTACACGGCTCCGGTGATCCTGAAGCAGCAACTCTTGCACACGCTGATAGTGGTACGGGTGCTTCCCGGTATCCGCTATAACAGCGTGAACTCTGCTAGGGGTCACATTCAGCTGGCGTCCGACAGCACGAACTGATGTTCGAGGGTCA